TTCCACCCTGATTTACCAATAAATTCTTTACAAATCCTACCATGTGGATTCATGGATTTTTTTTTCACATTCTGTCTCTCACAGTTGAAGTGTACCTCTGGTGCAAATTACTGACCTCTGTCATCATTTTAGGTGGGGGAACTTGCACAATCGGTGGCTGACTAAATACATTTTTGCCCCACTGTATGTGTAACATATTCTTTTTCCTTCTTTGACTAGTCGTTGATCCTCAGCTTGTTGCGTCTCGTTGTTAGCTTGAAACTTAATTTGTCGGTAAACCTGTGAATGAAAGGAAACACTTTTTCCCGCTCGAACGACGATCAGCGGCACGTCTGAAGTTAGTTAGTTTTAGTGTCTGTGATCAGTGCCTTTGGTCAGTGCCTGTGATCAGTGTCTGTGATCAGTACCTGTGGTCAGTGTCTGTGATCAGTACCTGTGGTCAGTGTCTGTGGTCAGTGTCTGTGATCAGTACCTGTGGTCAGTGTCTGTGGTCAGTGTCTGTGGTCAGTGTCTGTGATCAGTACCTGTGGTCAGTGTCTGTGATCAGTGTCTGTGGTCAGTACCTGTGGTCAGTGTCTGTGATCAGTGTCTGTGGTCAGTACCTGTGGTCAGTACCTGTGGTCAGTGCCTTTGGTCAGTGCCTGTGATCAGTGTCTGTGGTCAGTACCTGTGGTCAGTGTCTGTGGTCAGTGTCTGTGGTCAGTACCTGTGGTCAGTGCCTTTGGTCAGTGCCTGTGATCAGTGTCTGTGGTCAGTACCTGTGGTCAGTGTCTGTGATCAGTGTCTGTGGTCAGTACCTGTCGTCAGTGTCTGTGATCAGTGCTGTGGTCAGTACCTGTGGTCAGTACCTGTGGTCAGTGTCTGTGGTCAGTGCCTGTGATCAGTACCTGTCGTCAGTGTCTGTGATCAGTGTCTGTGATCAATGCCTGTGGTCAGTGTCTGTGGTCAGTACCTGTGGTCAGTGTCTGTGGTCAGTGCCTGTGATCAGTGTCTTTGGTGAGTGTCTGTGGTCAGTGCCTGTGATCAGTGTCTGTGGTCAGTGTCTGTGGTCAGTGTCTGTGATCAGTGTCTGTGGTCAGTGTCTGTGATCAGTGCCTGTGGTCAGTGCCTGTGATCAGTGTCTGTGGTCAGTGTCTGTGATCAGTGTCTGTGGTCAGTACCTGTGGTCAGTGTCTGTGATCAGTGCCTGTGATCAGTGTCTGTGGTCAGTACCTGTGGTCAGTGTCTGTGATCAGTGCCTTTGGTCAGTGCCTGTGATCAGTGTCTGTGATCAGTGTCTGTGGTCAGTGCCTGTGGTCAGTGCCTGTGGTCAGTGTCTGTGATCAGTGCCTGTGATCAGTGTCTGTGGTCAGTGTCTGTGGTCAGTACCTGTGGTCAGTGTCTGTGATCAGTGCCTTTGGTCAGTGCCTGTGATCAGTGTCTGTGGTCAGTGTCTGTGATCAGTGCCTTTGGTCAGTGCCTGTGGTCAGTGTCTGTGATCAGTGTCTGTGGTCAGTGCCTGTGATCAGTACCTGTGGTCAGTGTCTGTGATCAGTGTCTGTGATCAATGTCTGTGATCAGTGTCTGTGGTCAGTACCTGTGATCAGTGTCTGTGGTCAGTACCTGTGGTCAGTACATGTGGTCAGTGCCTGTGGTCAGTGTCTGTGATCAGTGCCTTTGGTCAGTGCCTGTGATCAGTGTCTGTGATCAGTGTCTGTGGTCAGTGCCTGTGATCAGTGCCTGTGGTCAGTGTCTGTGATCAGTGCCTTTGGTCAGTGTCTGTGATCAGTGTCTTTGGTCAGTGTCTTTGGTCAGTGCCTGTGGTCAGTGTCTGTAATCAGTGTCTGTGGTCAGTGTCTGTGATCAGTACCTGTGATCAGTGCCTGTGGTCAGTGTCTGTGATCAGTGTCTGTGATCAGTATCTGTGATCAGTGCCTGTGGTCAGTGCCTGTGGTCAGTGTCTGTGATCAGTGTCTGTGATCAGTGTCTGTGTCAGTGTCTGTGATCAGTGTCTGTGATCAGTGTCTTTGATCAGTATCTGTGATCAGTGTCTGTGGTCAGTGTCTTTGGTCAGTACCTGTGTCAGTGTCTGTGATCAGTGTCTGTGGTCAGTGCCTGTGGTCAGTGTCTGTAATCAGTGTCTGTGGTCAGTGTCTGTGATCAGTGCCTGTGGTCAGTGTCTGTGGTCAGTCAGGTCTGCTTCCATTAACTCAAACAGAGCTGCAAACGAGTGCGAGAGAGTTGCAGCACCCACCTGTAGCTGCCATTATAAAGGCACAGTCAAAAGACCACAGACGCACACACACACACACACACACACACACACACACACACACACACACACACACACACACACACACACACACGCTCTCCACAGGTCTGTGGGTCTGAATGGTCTCGGGGATCAAACATGACCATGCTCCTCGGGGTGAAACCTTCTAACATATGAAACGGTTGCTATCACAAGGCGACATTGTTGCTACAATGTCACAGAAATTAGAAGCTGATGTTTTGTGCCAATGGAAACGACACGGCGAGGTCCACGGCTCACCTCGCTGCACCACCCTGAACCCTGCTGCTCTGCACCCACAGGACGCCTGACAGGCACGATTCAGGTAGAATGAGATTGACAGGAAGTTGGACTCACCCTGCAGCGGCAGCAGGTGATGTCGGCGCACTCTTGCTTGGCGGCAGCAGGTTTGGCGTCGGGGTCACCGCCTGCACTGAACAGACACTTTCCTGCATGAACAAGTTGTTGCCATCCTCTGGTTGTACTCCGAGACGCAGACAGCAGAATGCAGGCGTCTGACTGGATGCTGATGTCTTTATTTTGCTTTTTGGGTTTTATTCCGGTGGCAGGGAGAGGAAAGCGTCTTTCTTCTCCTCTCGTCTCTGCTGTTCTGCACGCGCCGCGCCTTCTCTCCCCTCTGCCTGCCTGCCTCTCACAACAACTGCGAGGAGGAGGAGGATGCTGACTGGTGCTGGCTGTGTCTCGTTGCCCATGGCAACCCGTTGCTATAGCAATGGACCCGAGCTCACTGGGAGATGGAGCTGACGATGAAGACTGGGGGAGACCTACAGAGGGTCGGAGAGGAGCCGGGTTTGTTTACATTTAAGTTCAGACTCTGCTGACGACCTGCGAGCTCAGGCAGTCTGACACAGAGAGTCCGCTCAGGCTGCACCCATCAGCGGGAGCAGGAGGACGGTTAAAGGGTCTCTGATGGGCGGAGACTAACGCCACCATGTGACAGGAAGAAGACGCTGGAAACAAACTTCAACTGAGCAAACTTCTGGTGTGACCCGTCCACAGCTCAAAGTCCATCACTGATCTGCTGCTGCAGTCTGGAAACGTCCTGATGTTCACGCTCAGCCACCCATGAGCTGCAGCCACGCCACGACCTTTGAACTCTGAGCTTACCGACATCCAGTTAGCGCCGCTCTCCTGGATCCATCTGTCTGCCTCTGGCTCATGCTCACTCACACACACACACACACACACACACACAGATGAGACAAACTTTCTGCTCTCTGCACAGCTGAAGAACCTTTAACTCGTGAACGCCCTCTGGTGGAGGAAAGCTGCAATCACACTTAAACATCCAATCACTGTGCAGCGTTTCTCTGTCAGCAATCAGCTGATTGTAATGAGTGGAACACACAACAGCCACAGACATACAAAGCTAACCCAGGATCTAAGCCACACCTGCTGCACATGCATTCAGGTAATCAGCAATGACACAGAAGCGCCACCCGGTGGTTTGAGATGGAAACTCAAACCGGATCTCTTAATCTGCTAGAGCAGACATGCTCACTAAACTCTGTCCCCAGCTGAAGCAGTGTGAGCGTGCTCAGAAAACACAGTTCTGTGGTGATGATCGACGGTTTAAACCTGCCAGACACTTCCTGTTTACCTGTCCGGGTTCACCATGCTTGGATGCAGTGCTGTCACCATCAGCTCTGACCACACAGGTGTGTGCACTCCCCTGCTGAGCCTTGGTGATATCATAGAGTGTAACTTCTACAACTGAGGTGTGTCTCAAACACATGAGGGCGGGCACCGGTTTGTGGAGCCGCCATGATGTCTCACTGTGTTTGGCTAAAGTGGATGGACATCGCCCTTCCATATGTGGCTACAGACAGGAAACATACGTGTTTCCGGTGCTGGATGGACATTTGGATTCATGTCAGCACCTTTAGACTGAAGCAGTGAAGGATCATACCTGTTACATCATCATGCAAGGGAAAGGCTCAGCGCTGCCACCATCTTTACAAAACCTCCACCTCACCTCAAGCTTCTTCTCCTGAGCTGAAGTCAGCGCTCCAACATGAAAATGTGCCCATTCATTCATTGTCACAGTTACTGATGCAAACGGTTTTATTCATAGACATGTTCCAGACACAACATCGTGTCACACAGCTCAGCATGTTTATTTATTAATAAGGGTTCAGGTGTGTCAGGGAGAGAGCTGCAATAAGTGCCGGCCAATCATCATACAGCACAGCTAAAGTGTTCAAGGTTTCTTTATTTGATGAAAGATGAAACACTAATAATTCATTTGGCAGGAAACAGAAAATGTTATCAATAATATTAAAGAGGAAGAAGTTGTTTTTTAAACAATGACTGCAGCAGACAGCTGCACGGAGCTCCTCACTGTGAGCAGCCCATTGGCTTCAACCTTCACCGACATGCTGCTGCCTCACTCATATTAGCGTTCTGTTTACACAGAGGCCGTCAGCTGACCTGGAGCCAGTCTGTGTGCCGAGGCGGGCGGAGCTTCAGCGCTCGGTTCAGCCTCACGGAGGTTTCAGTCATCACCACGAGCAGTGCAGCACATCAGGTTTAGTCCAATCATCTGTGACGCAGGCCACCACACGGGGAGTTTCAGTGTTCACAGGTTGGTTTGAGCGTGAAGTGCAGTTTCTGCTTTCTTCCACCAGGTGGCAGCGCTGACTCAGTCTGAGCTTCTCCCTCTACAGAGGGGAGAGGTATTAAAGAAACAACGATAGCAGCACACATCAGGTTAGAGAGCGTGGAGGCGAGGGTGGAGAGGGTGGAGGAGAGGATGGGGAGAGCGTGGAGAGGGTGGGGAGGGTGGAGGAGAGGGTGTAGAGGGTGGAGGAGAGGGGAGAGGAGAGGATGGGGGAGAGCGTGGAGGCGAGGGTGGAGAGGGTGGAGGAGAGGATGGGGAGAGCGTGGAGAGGGTGGGGAGGGTGGAGGAGAGGGTGTAGAGGGTGGAGGAGAGGGGAGAGGAGAGGATGGGGGAGAGCGTGGAGAGGGAGGAGAGGGTAGGAGAGGATGGGAGAGCGTGGGAGGGTAGAGGGTGGAGGAGAGGTAGAGGAGAGGATGGGGGAGAGTGTAGAGGTGGAGGAGAGGGTAGAGGAGAGGATGGGGGGAACGTGGAGAGGGGAGGAGAGGATGGGGAGAGGGTGGGAGGGTGGTGGAGGAGCATGAGAGGGAGGAGAGGTGGAGGAGGGATGGGGAGAGCGTGGAGGCGGGGGTGAGGGTGGACGAGAGGGTGTAGAGGGTGGTGGAGAGGGTAGAGGAGAGGATGGGGGAGAGCGTGTAGAGTGGAGGAGAGGGTAGAGGAGAGGATGGGGAGAGACGTGGAGAGGTGGAGGAGAGGGTGTAGAGGGTGGAGAGGGTAGAGGGGAGGATGGGGGAGAGCGTGTAGAGGGTGGAGGAGGGTAGAGGAGAGGATGGGGGGAACGTGGAGGGTGGAGGAGAGGGTGTAGAGGGTGAGGAGAGGATGGGGGAGAGGGTGGGCGGGTGAGAGCATTGAGAGGGTGGAGGAGAGGGTGGAGGAGAGGATGGGGGAGAGCGTGGAGCGAGGGTGGAGAGGTGACGAGGGGTAGGGTGGTGGGAGAGGGTAGAGGGGAGGATGGGGGAGCATGTAGAGGGTGAGGAGAGGGTGAGGGTGGGAGGAGAGGAGGGGAGAGGGTGGGGCGGGTGGTGGAGAGCATTGGATGGGGGAGGGTGGAGGGAGAGAGGAGGGAGAGGGTGGAGGCGAGGGTGGAGAGGGTGGACGAGAGGGTGTAGGGGTGGTGGAGAGGGTAGAGGGGGAGGGAGAGGGTGTAGAGGGTGGAGGAGAGGGTAGAGGAGAGGATGGGGGAGAGCGTGTAGAGGGTGGAGGAGAGGGTGTAGAGGGTGGTGGAGAGGATGGGGGAGAGGGTGGGGAGGGTGGTGGAGAGCATTGAGAGGGTGGAGGAGAGGGTGGAGGAGAGGATGGGGGAGAGCGTGGAGGCGAGGGTGGAGAGGGTGGACGAGAGGGTGTAGAGGGTGGAGGAGAGGGTAGAGGAGAGGATGGGGGAGAGCGTGTAGAGGGTGGAGGAGAGGGTAGAGGAGAGGATGGGGGAGAACGTGGAGAGGGTGGAGGAGAGGTGTGAGGGTGGAGGAGAGGATGGGGGAGGGTGGGGCGGGTGTGGAGAGCATTGAGAGGGTGGAGGGGGGGAGAGGATGGGGGAGAGCGTGGAGGCGAGGGTGGAGGGTGGACGAGAGGGTGTAGAGGGTGGTGGAGAGGGTAGAGGGGAGGATGGGGGAGAGCGTGGTGAGGGTGGAGGACAGGGTGTAGAGGGTGGAGGAGAGGGTGGAGGAGAGGGCGGGGGCTTGTGATGGGTGCTGCAGTCAGCCTGATTGGGAGTTGTTGGAGTCAAACTGTTAAAGGTTGTCATTGTGTTACTTACAGTTGTAAGTCTTAGTTGCAGCAGCAGGATCAAAGACTCCCTCCCCGGCCTGTCTGTTGGCGGGGCGGCTGTAGTGTTTTATCATAGGCACATCCTGGGTGAAGGTTCTGTTTCCTGCTTAGTAAACTTCCTGCCTTTAGATTAGATTAAACTTTATTAATCCCTCGGGTGGGCTCCTCCGGGAAATTTGGTTTACCATAGCACCGACAGAAGTTACAGAATGTGAGCAGACCTTTTATGACCCTTTTGTGGGCAGGAGGTCACACAAACGCACCCCCAAACACAAACACACACTCACATACACACACACACACATACAGATGCTCGCACATACGTGCACACACATACACAAATAGCGCCTTATCTTTTAGAACCACAGGGGGGGTTTACAATGGGAGGTGCTTGTGTGTACTGTAACTGTTTTCAATAAAAGGCGGCAAGCGGAGGGTGAGGGAGGAGGTTTTCTGTAGCTGTCCCAGCTGCCCCAGTAGCTCTCCATTGAGTCTCTGATGTTTCACAGTGTGTCCTGATCATAAATTAGAGCAGCAGAAGCAAAGTCAGAATACAAAAGAGCAAAAGTTATAGTGGAAAAGACGAGTGAGACAGTGAAAAACTGCACTGTCGCCTCCAGTGAGCTGCAGCAGCGACAAAGCCAAACACAGGCGCCATCTTCAAGTTTAAGATCCTGACCAGGGAGCACCTGGTCAGGATCTTAAACTGCCTGAAGAGTGTTGCAGGGACATCTGTCCCACACAGAGGGAGGTTCCTGCTGGCATACTGAGACATCCCATAATGGTAACTGAGTAAATAAATGATGTGGATAACTTTCTTTCAATCGATGTTGTGATGACCCGTCAGTGTGAATGACCTGCAGCACTGGTACCAGATGTTTGACTGCAGGAACGGTGCATATATAACAGACACCTGCACCAGTTGCCTCAAAGACTTTGCTTCAATGCTCCGAGACCACATTTTAAATCCACGGAGGAAAAAATGTCTGAAAAATTAAACATTTTTAGATTAAAAGTAAAAACTATTTAAAATAAGTGAAAAAGAAAAATCAGCGATACACACAAAATAAGCAGATTTTCATATTTATGACGTAAACACTGGACAGATGTGCGGATCATGTCTACACTCATCGGTCCATGACCAAACCTGGACGTCGTGGGTCATGTTTTTGGACGTCTATGACATTTCTTTATTTACATTGCTGTTATAAAAATGAGATGTATGAATAGAGATTATTTACAAAACAGTATGAATTATTGTGTGTTAGCGTGTCGATTTATTCAGTACATGTGGGATTTTTGTTTGTTAGTTTACATTCTACAATTTAATTTCTTTGTAACCAGGTGTAAACTGTCATTTATTAAAATGTGTTGAAATCCATGTTGAAATGTAAAATAATAATGGTTAAAGTGTTTTGTCGATGTGCACATTTTGAAACTGTCTGTGAGAAGCTCGGGACATTTCTGCTCAGTGTCCACTGAGCAGCTGCGCGATTTTGGTTTTAGCTCAACATCCTTCGCCATCTTGGAGACGTCCGCTGATCTCTCTGCAGTCCTTCACACATAACTGTTGCTGTACAGAAGACTACAGAGCCTGTACATGTAGAAGCATTAAAACAACTAAAAATGAGTCTAAATGAGTTTGACTTTGAAAAGATGTCCACATCGACCACATCTGGACTTGAAATAGCCCGTACAAGGAGGTCCTGTGGACATCAACACCAGACGTTCAGCAGACGTTAAAAAAGACGTCCCTTGGAGTTACAAGTGGATGAAAATTAGATGTTCAAAAACGACTCATAAAAGGCGTCCCGTCGTGCACGTGTTCAGTCACGCGCAGCCTGGAAGCTTCATTTCTCACTGTGATAAACAAAGGCAGCACCAGGGGGCGCTGCTGGCCTTCCAGTGTTATGTAGACTGATGGCAGACGGGAGCCAGGTGTGGGACACGTTGGCAGGTTAACCAGTGACAAGGAGTTTTTATTGGCTGATAAATCACAATAGGACATGAGAAAACAACCTTTCAAAATAAAACAGGAAGTAACTCAAATACAAATGACTAATTAGTGACACATGATGACATCACAGAGAAAGAAACCAATAAAATCAAGGAGGACCCAACTCGCAGTCACGGACGTGCTGCAGCAGCTAAAAGATCAGGAAAGAAGCTCCCGCTGCTCGCCGGCATCTTCCTTCCTGGAACATTTTGGAACAGGTGAGCGCTCGCCAAGCAAGCAGGAAATACACTTTTCTCCAGCTGGACCGGACCGGAGGCTTACATCAAAGTCCCAACTCTTCTAAAAGCCTGATTGTAGGAATATTCACAGGATCCTAAACAGCTGTGGGCAGCCAATGAGAGGAGAGCAGGAGTGAAAAGGGAGGAGCTAAAGCAGCAGAGGATGGCGAGGGCCGGAGAGGAGAGGAAGATTCTTCAGAAAATCTGCTGTAGGATGGTCCAGAATGTCAAACATGAGGCCCGGGGGCCAGAATCGGCCTGCCAGAACCTCCGATCCGGCCCGCTGGAAGGCTGTGGAAAATTATTTTAAACAGACGCCTTGTAAGCATCTGCCTGCACCGCAGCACTGCTTCAGATACCCCCCACTCCCCGGTTAAAGGATGAAAGTGGCCGGTGAGCTCCTGCTGCTCGCTGACTTGAGTCACGCTGAGCAGCTTTATTAGAAATCCTTCACACAGACAAACAGGAAGCCAGATCCTTCTGGTTAGACAGAGAAACACAGACTAAAACTGAGAGTCCAGAAAAGTCAGACGATGCAAACCGAACACAAAGAAATGAAGAAAACAAAGAGGAGCAGGAAGAGGGCATGGCAAGATGTCACCCGCCATGACCTAGCAGCACAGAGGTGAATGTGATTCGCTGTGAGGGAAACTAACAAAATGCTGAGGGTCAAAGCTGAGGGTAAGGATGGAGACATGACTGCATCATCTGTACGTCTCCTCACCCTTCAGTCCTTCCATACCAGAGCCCACAAACGCTCCAGAAGACAGAGCACAGGCAAGTCGACTCCTACTTACATTAAGGAGGGTCAGAAAATGCATACATATGGCTTAGAGCCACAAATCGACACGCCAAAAAGACTATAAAAATTTATATTATATTTTTTCCACTTTAATTAGCAATTTTTAACTACTTCTCCTTGAAATATCATGTCAAGTTTTAATTACATTTCGCGATTTTAACCCTTTATATCCCGTTTCGTCACATGAGCGCACTGCTTTTTTTGCCCCAAAAACAAAAACTTGAATATTTTCCAAAAAACATTGAGTAATATCATTGTTTTATAATTAGGCCTTTGGATGACTAAAGATGGCCCAGAGTCATTCGATCGCCTTTTTTTTTTTCAGGAGCGCATTCATAAAATGCACACTATCGACCACGCCCAAAAAGTGCAATAAAAATATTAAATATTAATTTTTTTTTTCACTTTAAATTGGTCAGTCTTTTAAAACTACTTCTCCCTGAAATATTCATATAAAGTTTTAATTATATTTTCGTTGTTTTAACCCTTTAAATTACAAAAAAAACGAAAAAAAAAACTAAAAAAACTAAATATTTTCCCAAAAAAACATTTGAAGTAATATTTGATTGTTATTATAATTAGGCCTTTAGATGGACTAAAGATTGGCACAAACAGTCATTTCAATCGCCTTTTATTTTTTTTTTCAGGACCAGAAAATGGTCTCCAGGCGGCAAATGCTCCTCCTCTAGCCCGGAATCGGTGCATGCTCCCGGGTTGACTCGCGACGATGACCGGGGCATGTTGCGTCGGACCCCTTTTTCCAACACACACATCCGGTACCACGTCACAACAAATACGTCATTTCCTGTTGATTTAAAAAAAAAAAATCCAACCTCAAACGGTCCTGGGGCCGAAATTGTCCCGCCGATCAGCGGGCGAAACCGCTGCAGCACGCCGGAAAAGAGGCGTCATTTCCCGCAGGTCTCTTTAAGCAGCCCGCTGTTTTCCAGCCCGGGTCAAATGTGGAGCAAGGGCGCCACCCGGTGGACAAATAAAAAAATTACAACTCCAAGGCCAGTACTGCAAGCGGAAGCGGAAGCATTACCGATCGAGATCGATTTGACCGTATTTTTTTTGCCGTGAAAAATAGCGTTTATAATGGGTTTCAATGGGGCACAAATCGACCCTAGGATCAATAGCGTAAGTTTATCGCTAGCTTAGCCACTGAAGCTAATTTCCGGAAGTCATACTGAAATTTTAACAGTAAATGTGACCAAACTTTTTTTTGCAGACTTTCGCTATATTCCATTCAACACTGTGCAAATGGCAGGTAATCAAAATTTGAAAATAGCCAAAAATAGCCACAAATCGACCCAAGGCCCTCCAGGGGTTTTAATATCGTACGATATCACCTCACAGGAGCACAGCCCACCTAACCTGCAGTTCCTCTGATGTCCAGCAGAGGCAGCAGGGAGTCACTCCTGACAAACATGTTCACACAAACTGTACGCGGGGAGGACATCTCTGTAACTCACCTGTTTAAAGTTTGGTATTATTAGGGGCGTGGCCTCTTTGCCTGACAGGTGGCTGCTAGCTGTCTGCCCCGTGTTTGTGCTGTTGGAGCATTTGTAATTATCTGACCCATGACGCGGCCACTGTGAGGCTAATGTGCTAACAGAGCGTCCAAGAGGTGTGAGCTCCAGGTTCAGGATTCTGATTGGATGTTAGTGATCAGCAGGTGTGATCTCTAATAAGAGCCTGAGATTTAAAATCCCGCCCACTGACCTGCTGATCCGCCCACGTCTCGCTGATTATCGCATCAGAAGCTGTCCGAGTGTTTGTGGAGAAGTCAGAGGAAACACTTCCTGGTTGTTTCTGTTGAACTTTTACAGACATGAGGAAGAAAACGGACTTACTGCTTCCTTTAAAGACGGATATTAAACCCATAAATTTGGACTGCTGTGAATTTATTGGGTTTAATATGAACTGCAGTGAAACTGAACTGAGGTTAATCAGCTGCTTCGGCAGAGCAGCAGGACCTCGAGCACAACGACACGACGCATCCGATTCGTTAATGACCATGGGAAGGTGGAGCACGAGGGGCCGGTGAACTGGTGTGATGTCAGCACTAATCGTCGCTCGCTGGCCTGCTCAGAGCAGAGACGCCATCTGATCCCCGTCCCTCGTGGGCTCCATTTGGAGGTTTTCCAGGTGTGCTTAGCTGGAAGTGGACCCCAGAGAGGAGCCAGAGATTCCTGAACATAATTTCTGTGATGAGGGGGCGTGTCTGAGAAAAGCAGGTTGTGTTGTGGGAAACCTAACAAGTGAGCGAGGATGATGAGGGTGAAGCCCAGCAGTGAAATTTCTCAGTGAAGCAGCCGTCAGTAAATCCTGATGGTGTCTCTCTGGGACGGTCCCTCTCAGTTTTCCCTGGAAACCAGACTCTGGAAGCTTTGGAGCAGCGTCTCTGCTTTCTCACTGAAATCGGCCACTCGACGTTTGAGCCGCTGCTGTGTGAACGTGTTTTCAGTTTGTGTGTCTGTGCCACAACGTTAATGAACTCTGGATGTAATAAAGTCGAGCTTTTCCTTCAGGAGTCAGCAGTAAATAATCTCACCGTCCCCACAACAATAACAGCTGGCCTCAGGTATTACACAGAGCCAACCTCCGAGCTGACATCGAAGGAATCATCGACGACATCAGCACGTCGGGGTTTCTGAACATGCAGGACATTAATCAACGTGTGGCATCCTCAGAGTCTTTTCCTGTGTTTCTATCCCGGCCCTGTTCCCGGCTGT